TATTGTCTACATGATCTCCTTGTTGGTTAATTAACGAAGTTATGCATACTCTTAAAAATCATGGGTGAGTTGGGTAGAAAGTATTTAATAGGCTTGCTTGACCGGGTTCACTCGGTTAAGCGCTAGTCACGCTCCCTAAGTTTGGGGCGTGACACATGAGTCCTTATAGCCGCACCTATGGCCAAGCCCACCGCAGGTGTGGTTACACCAGCAAAACCAACCCTTCATCCATGCTCTAAGTCCAAATATTGATCCGGTAATAATCCAAAACTCACCCGAGGCCCCCGAACCTCAACCAAACTTGAAACTAACTTAATCGAAGCCTTAAGTCACATCAAACAATATTAAAACCATGAATCACACCCCAATTCAAGCCTAATAAAACTAAGGAATTTCCAACTTCTAAAACCAATACCGGATCATATCAAACCAACTCTGATTCACTTCAAATTCTGCACACAAGTCATAAGTCACACAACAGAGCTATTCCAACTTTCGAAACCAAAATTCGATTCCGGTATCATCAAAGTTAACTCTCAGTCAAACTTCTCAACCTTCCAAACTTTCAACTTTCTTACTTTCGCCAATTCAAGCCAAAACAACCTACAAACCTTCAATTCAATATCCGGAATACTCCTAAGTCTAAAATCACCATACGAAACTAATGGATCCATTAAAACTTCATTCTGTATTCGTTTACACACAAGTCAACATTTGGTCAACTCTTTCAACTTAATGTTCCAACCTTGGGAATAAGTGTCCCAATTCATTTCGAAACATCCCCAAAATCAAACCAACCACCCCGGCAAGTCACGTAACCACAAGTGAACATAGAATAAGAAATAAATAGGGATACAAGACAATAATAATGCACAAGATGACTCATTGGGTCGTCACAGTAGTGTTACTGATGTGTCACATAGCAGGGGATTAGTGAATAATGTGTTATATGTCCCTAATTTCAACTACAATCTATTGTCAGTGTCTAAGATCACTAAGGAGCTACAATGTTTTGTTCTTTTTTTCCTGATATCTGTGTATTCCAGGACCTCTGCATTAGAAGGGTGAGGGGATTGGTAAAGAGGATGATGGCTTATACCTGCTGCCTCAATTTTCATGTTGAAAACTCTACAGTATCAGCTAAAAGTTTAAGCACATGATCTGAGAACATGGACCTTGGACTGTGGCAAAGAAAATGTCTTGACTTACCTTTAGTATATTGTATTAGAACTATAAAATAAAACTATAAAAGAATGTTCTGTTTTCCCATTAGCTAGACATACTAGATTACCCTTTCAAAATAATCAAAGCATGGCTACTGAAACTTTCCATGTGATACATATAGATGTTTGGGGCCCTTACAAGTACAGACTCATGATGGAAATAAAATGTTTCTCACTATTGTTGATGATCATTCCAGAGTTACTTGGTTTTTCTTGTTAAAATTAAAAAGTGATGTTGTAGTCATTTTGAGATAATTTTTTAAGATGGTGCACACACAATTCAATAAGACAGTAAAGACAATAAGGTGTGACAATGAGAGTGAATTCATTAACATTGAATGAAAGGAGATTTTATTATCACTTGGGATAGTACATCAAAGAACTTGTGTTTATACACCCCAACAAAATGGGGTGGCTGAGAGGAAACACATGCATGTATTGGAGGTTGCTAGGGCTTTTAGGTTTCAAGAAAGTATCCCACTTATGTTCTGGGGTCATTGTGTTCTAGCTGCCACATACCTTATCAATAGAATTCCTTCAACAGTCTTAAAAGGTAAAAGTCCACACGAGGATTTCCATGAGAATAAACCACCTCTGGATCATCTAAGAGTACTGGGATGCTTATGTTATGCAAAAAGGATGCCTTTGCATGATAAGTTTGCACCAAGGGTAGTGGTTGCAGTAAAGATAGGGTACTCCGAAGTAACTAAAAGATACATACTATATGGTTTGGCTAACCATACATTTTTTATTAACAAGCATGTTGTTTTTATGGAAAATGTGCTTCCTTTCAAACACAGGCCTGAGGCAAGTTCTCAGCTATTCTTGGATGATACAGCTTGGCTGAGGCCCTTGGATATCAAAAGCCATCTAGAAGATAATTCTTTTGATGCAGTGGATAATATTCTATTTGCAGAAGATTTTGAAGCCATCCTAGATCAACCATTGCAGCCTGATGACATGGTCGGTCCTATCATACATGATTTACCAACTAGAGAGTTGGCAGACCTTGTGCCAGATGCTGAACCACCAGGTGTTGAACCATCTGTTCCTCATCCTCCTTCACCAATGCCACCAATTGATTCTACTGTTGTACCTATAAGACACTCTTAGAGGAATAAACAACTACAAGCATGGATGACAGACTTCATCGTAGGATCAAAATCTAAGAGCACATAGCAGCCACCACATTCTATTCATGCCTCTATTGTTTATGACTTATTGATGCCTTCCTACAGGAAATCCTTAGTTGCTTTTACTTCCATAGTGGAACCTATGACATTTCATGAAGTATCTAAAGATCCACTTTGGATTGAGGCTATGGAGATAGAGTTGAAGGCTCTTGAAGATAACAAAGCTAATGGAGACATTGAAAGATACAAAGTCAGGCTAGTGGCTAAAGAATATAGTCAGCATGAGGGGTTGGACTACAATGAAACCTTCTTACCCGTGGTTAAGATTGTCACTGTCAGGGCAATGATGTCCATAGCAGCCATTGAAGGTTGGCACCTACATCAAATGTATGTCTACAATGCATTCCTCCAAGGAGACTTATATGATGAAGTCTATATGAAACTCCCACAAGGCTTTACAAGCCAGGGGGGAGAAGAATGGAGTATGCAGGCTTGTCAAATCCTTGTATAGATTGAAGCAAGAAAGCATGCAATGGAATGTCAAATTGACAGATGCACTGATCAATTTGGGCTTCACTCAGAGTTCACTAGACTATTCATTATTTACCAAAAGACAAGACAAGAGTATTATAGCAGTTTTAGTCTATGTTGATGACATGTTAATAATAGGTAATGACATGAATTTGATAGAGTCCACTAAGAAGGATCTGCAATAAGCATTCAGGATGAAGGACCTTGGTGAATTGACGTATGTTTTGGGAATTGAGTTCTCTAGATTACACAAGGTATTTTGATGAACCAAAGAAAATATGCCTTAAAGCTAATTGCAGATTTAGGTTTGAGTGCTGCCAAATCAATTGGGACTCCTCTGGAGTTCAATTAGAAGCTTACAACAAGGGAACTTGATAAGATAACTGGAACTACAGAAGATGAGTTGTTGGAAGATAAAGGACAATATCAAAAGTTAGTTGGTAAACTGTTGTACCTGACTATGACTAGGCCAGGCATTGCCTATGTAGTGCAAACTCTTAGCCAGTTCATGAAACAACCTAAAAGATCTCATTGAGAAGCAGCTTTAAGAGTGGTGAAATATGTGAAGATGGCACCTAGAATGGGGATATTGATGAGTAGTAAGTAGGGTAACACACTAATAGCATTCCGTTATGCTGATTGGGCATCATGCCCAAATACCAGGAATTAGTTACAGGCTTTATATTAAAGCATGGTGAATCACTCATTGCCTGGAAGTCCAAGAAGCAAAATACAATATCAAGAAGCTCTGTAGAATCAGAGTACATGATCATGGCCTCTACACTATCAGAACTTATATGGCTAATTAGTTTGTTTAAGGAACTGGGAGCTGAAGTGAGGGAACATGTTGATTTATATTATGATAGCAAAGCAGAATTACATATTCTGGCTAATCCAGTATATCATGAGAGAAAAAAATATTTAGAAGTGGACTGGCACTTCATAAGGGAGAAGATTCAGCAAGTGTTAGTGCAGACACATCATATCAATTCGAAGGGAGCAACAAGCAGACATTCTAACTAAAGCATTGTTGAGATCACAACATGAATATTTGGTCTCCAAGCTGGGAGTGCTTAATATTTTTGCACCTACCATTTTTAAGGAGAGTGTTGAGAGTGGAGTTACTTGAGGAGCCTAGGAGTTAATTGTAGTCAAGCTTAGAAGTTAACTGTAGTTAGAGATAGTGTTAAATATTTGTTAAGAGTTAGTTAGGTTGTTAAATAGGTAAACCGTCAGTGAGTTGTCATTTGTTAACACTGTATATATCTAGGTGTATTGACTTTCCAAATGAATATACATAAAGCATTAATTCGACCTCTCTCTGAAAACTTCCTCTTTCCTAATGCTCTACCGCTACTACTTCAATCTCCATTACTATAAATTCTATATCTCTAGCTTATAATTTTGACATGTATTAGTTACGGGTTCGTCTGAATCTAGTAATTTTGCAGTATTCTTATATAATAAGGCTAGTCTATCCATAATTTAAGCTAGTGTTGAAAGTGCAAGAGGGGGTGAATTGTAATTCTTCTTTTCTTTTTCGAGGTAGTCGACTAGTTTGAGTTCTAGCCGACTGGACTTTTCAGGAATAGAATGTAAATGATAAATTGGAGGAATTAAATAACACAGTGCTTAAGTTATAGCCGACTGGACTTTTCAGACTTCAAGCTTAAGTTCCCTGTCTTTCTTTTCCCTATTAAGTCTCTTTAGCTCATTCAACATTTTTTGAGACTCTTTTAGAGTAAGGTCAAGAATGTCCTGCAATTCATTACATCTACCAAAGTTATAAGATCTTACCTCGCTTGTTTCACCTCGTGCCATGAAACAGTTTTCAGCAATTTTCTTGCATTCATCGTCTGATGTATCTTCATCAGTCCAGCAGCCAGAGTATTTGTTCATATCATTTTCCAGGATGGTCATGAAGCATAGATTTGCTATTTCTTCGTGTTATGAACTATCTTCATCACTCCAACTTTCAAAGGATTTGTTTATGCTGAATCCTCTGGAGACTTTTCTTTTAAGATTTGGGCATTCAGCTTGAACATGCCCATACCTTCCACACTCATAACACCTCCCACCATTCTTGTCTTGTTCATTGTATTGCCTGGTTCGCCTAGATGGCATCCTTACCCTTCTTGTATTTNATATTTCTATACCTTCTCATTAACCCATCCATATTTCTTGATAACATAGCAATTTCTTCTTCAAGGGCTTCTGGATCGTCATCAATATTATTTTCAGGTCCTTTAGTTATAGATTTGAAGGCAACCATTTTCTTCTTTTCTTCCTGACTTGTTTTCTTGAGATGGGTTTTCTCGAATGCTATAAGATCTCCTCTGAGTTCATCATATGAAAGTTTGTTTAGATCTTGAGATTCAAGTGTAACTACTTTCGTTTGCCAAGTGGTAGGTAAACTCCTTAGTATTTTTCGAACTTGATCACCACTTGAATAGGGTTTATCAAAAGCTTTCAGATCGCTAATGATTTTTGCTGAATCTTGCAAACATTTCCTCAATGGATTCTCCTTCTTTCATCAGGAAGAGTTCATAGTCATGAACCAACATGTTTATCCGAGTTTCTTCCACTTTGTTGGTTCCTTCATAGGTGACCTCCAATTTGTCCCACATTTCTTTAGCCGTATCACAGCTTGAAAACTTCTCATACTCTTCTCCACTTATAGCGTTATACAACAGGTTTTGTGACTTAACAGTAACCTGAACGACTGTTATTTGTTCGTTTGTGTATTCATCTATATCTTCAGGATCAACGGGTGGTTGAGTTGCTGCTGGTANGTATTTCTATACCTTCTTATTAACCCATCCATGTTTCTTGATAACATAGCAATTTCTTCTTCAAGGGCTTCTGGATCGTCATCAATATTATTTTCAGGTCCTTCAGTTATAGATTTGAAGGCAACCATTTTCTTCTTTTCTTCCTGACTTGTCTTCTTGAGATGGGTTTTCTCGAATGCTATAAGATCTTCTCTGAGTTCATCATATGAAAGTTTGTTTAGATCTTGAGATTCAAGTGTAACTACTTTCGTTTGCCAAGTGGTAGGTAAACTCCTTAGTATTTTTCGAACTTGATCACCACTTGAATAGGGTTTATCAAAAGCTTTCAGATCGCTAATGATTTTTGCTGAATCTTGCAAACATTTCCTCAATGGATTCTCCTTCTTTCATCAGGAAGAGTTCATAGTCATGAACCAACATGTTTATCCGAGTTTCTTCCACTTTGCTGGTTCCTTCATAGGTGACCTCCAATTTGTCCCACATTTCTTTA